ATCACATTTGAGTATGAAATTTTACTCATGTATTCCACTTCACGTTCATTGCAGGGAGCTTGTTCCTTAGATAGAACAAAATGATTTGCAAGAGGCAACGTGACAGGTTTGCAGTCACTCATATTAAACTTTTTCAACACTTTTGAAATGTATGGGGACTGATGTAAGAATACGATGGAATTCGACCTATTTCGTTCTATTTCCATGCCTAGAATCCTTTTAGCCTTTCTTAGGTCTTTCATGTCAAATTCTCCACTAAGATCTGCTTTTATATTGTTTATCCACTTAGGAGATGATCTAACTAAAAGCATGTCGTCCACATAGAGCAACAAAAACAAATAATTGTTATCAGTCTCGTTGTGTTGAAAGTATAGGCAATGATCGAATTTACGTCTTTGAAATCCTATAGTGAGTACAAAGGAATCAAACCTCTTGTACCACGTCTAGGTGATTGCTTTAGACCGTATAGGGATCTTTTCAGAAAACACACATAATCAGATTTTAACTTGTCTTTAAAACCTTTTGGTTGATTCATAAAGATTTGTTCATCAAGCTCTCCATGTAAAAAAGCGGTTTTTACATCGAGTTGTTCAAGTTCCCAGTCAAAGAGCGCAACTAATGCGAGCATGACCCTAATAGTAGTGTACTTGACAACTGGTGAGAAAATCTCGTTATAATCAACACCTTCTTTCTGTGTGTAACCCTTTGCTACTAACCTAGCCTTAAACTTTAAGGGTTCTGAACTACTAGTACCTTTTTTAACCTTAAAGACCCACTTGCAATCAACGATTGATTTATTCTTAGGTCTCGGTACTAACTCCCAAGTTTGATTCTTTTCTAGAGAACTCATCTCTTCTTTCATAGCCTTAAGCCACTCCTTAGATTGACCACTATTCATAGCCTCTTCAAACGTTTTTGGCTCCCTATCAACTAGTTCTTCGTAACTAGCGTATGCAAAATCTAATTCAGATTCATATCCGAATCTCCTAGGTTCTCTCGTTTGCCTTCTCTCTCTATCTCTAGCTAAGTTATAGTTAGCTAATGGATTTTCTTCTTCAGGATGCTCTTCTATCACTACTTCATTTTCCTCTTCAGGTTCTTGGACCTGAATCTCCATTTTACTCGAAGTACTAGGTACTGATGTGTTAAATTTTCCTAACTCCACCTTAAACCGACTTCTTTCTTCACTTGATTCAGTTTCAATTACTGGTTCGGTTTCGTTCTTTAGATAAGGCATCTCTTTCTCATTAAATGTGACATCCCTACTCACGATGATCTTAACTCCTTTTTGGCTTCTATCCTATAGCCTATATCCTTTGACCCCTTCGGGATACCCTAGAAAGACACACTTCCTGGCTCTAGGTTCTAACTTTCCCTCACTTTGATGAGAAAAAGCGGCACAGCCAAACGCTTTAAGTATCGAGTAGTCACCCAATTTTCCAGACCATTTCTCATGTGGAGTATCACCATTTAATGCAGCTGATGGAGTCAAATTTATTAGATAAAAGGCAGTGATAATGGCTTCACCCCAAAATGACTTAGGAACCCCAGAACTTAACATCATGCAGCGCACTTTGTCTAGTATAGTCCTATTCATTCTTTCTGCCACCCCGTTTTGCTGGAGAGTATAAGGGACCGTTTTGTGCCTCGTTATTCCACTTTCTTTACACATCCTATCGAATTCTGTATTACAGAATTCTAGGCCGTTATCTGTCCTTAAAAATTTGATCCTCTTGCTAGTTTGGTTTTCCATTTGTTTCTTCCAATTGTTAAAGTTATGGAAGGTTTCAGTTTTGTCTTTCAATAGATAGACCCACACTTTCCTGGTGTAGTCATCTATGATAGATAGGAAATACCTATTCCCACCCGATGTGGGATTACTAGCAGGACCCCACATATCAGAATGCACATATTCAAGCATGCTTTTAACCTTATGCGTACTGGTGGAAAACGACACTCTATGGTGCTTTCCAAGCACACAGTGATCACAGAACGATAGGTCAGACACACAGTCATTACCAAATGCACCTTTTTCATTAAGTAG